TCAGCAAGCCTGTGTGGAGAAAGGACGCCCGTGTCCTTCAGCACAGGTGCGTGCACACCTGGGGTGTCAGGTTATCTTCCTTGGGTTTAGCTCTATTTCCCTCCAGCCTCTTGGGCCCTCGTGTCAGTTTTATCCCATCTTTCCTCTCACATGCAATCATCTGCTGTCTCCACAGCATTGCCCATTTGTAGTTATTTTACGCTTTCAAAGCAATTTTTACTTTTTTTAGATTTTGTTTATTTATTCATGAGAGAGAGAGAGGCAGAGACGCAGGCAGAGGGAGAAGCAGGCTCCTTAAGGGGAGCCTGACACAGGACTCCGTCCCAGGACCCTGGGATCACGACCTGAGCCGAAGGCAGATGCTCAGCCACTGAACATCCAGGTGCCCCTCAAAGCAATTTTTATTTTACATTTTCCTCCAATAACAATAGCTCAGAGGTTGGGAGAAGGTGAATGGTGGCCAAAGGGGGTGTGTTGGTGGTGCACTTACTCCTGGGAGCCTGTTTTCCTCCTCAGCCTCCCTGCTCCTGGCCTTCCTCCTTTCCGGGCCTCCCCATTCAGAGGCATAAAGAAACAGTTATGCCTCTTAACCAGCCAATACCTATGGGCTATTTTTATAGCACCCTGCTATTTCTTGGGAAACCAACCCCTCCAGGTTTCCTTAAACTTGGGCTCTGAGCTATTGATCCTTCAGTGAGTGCTTGCTCCTATTTTGTGTCAAAAACAGAAATAGAGGGATCCCTGGGTGGCGCAGCGGTTTGGCGCCTGCCTTTGGCCCAGGGCGCGATCCTGGAGACCCGGGATCGAATCCCACATCGGGCTCCCGGTGCATGGAGCCTGCTTCTGCCTCTGCCTATGTCTCTGCCTCTCTCTCTTTCTCTCTCTGTGACTATCATAAATAAATAATAAAAAAAAAAAAACAGAAATAGATCTCAATTTTATTATTATACCATTAAGTCCATTAAATCTTAGTGGTTGTGGGTATGGGTGTACACTTCTATCTACATAATTACATACAAGTAAATGCATCTCTGTATATAGATAGAATATTTCTATATACACACATATATTTGTATATGTGTGTTTTAGTAGGCAAATAAATTAAAGAAGACAGTGCTGGCTGGCCCTGTTATTGGAAAACATAAATGGAATCTCAGAGTCCTCGGAGATGGTAAAAACTGAGTTAACTGGACATTGCCTTGGGTTTAATTTTCGAGCTAGATGTGTTCACCTAATTGGACTAGGAAGCAGTTCTTTTTTGCTGGCTCAAAAATTAAGTTAAACAAAAAAAGTCTAAGGGATGCCTGGGTGTCTTAATTGGCTAAGTGTCTACCTTTGGCCGAGATCATGATCTCAGGGTCCTGGGATTGAGCCCCACATCAGGCTCCCTGCTCAGCGGGGAGTCTGCTTCTCCCTCTTCCTCTTCACACTGTCTCTCTCTCAAATAAAAAAGTAAAATATTTAACAAACAAGTTTACATCATAAAAGCAGAGCCCGAGTTAATATGTGAAGAATCGTGTAATAGAATATTGAAGCTGTAGCTGAGGTGGGGTGATCAGAGAAGCTAATACAGGGCAGAGCACTACTGAAAAGCCTTTAGTAATTGAGTATTATCAGGATGTTAGGTTGGGGCATACTGCTCCTCTTCTTGTTACATGCATGTATGAATTTTCTCATTTTGACAAGGATAGAGTCTGAGAAAATTCTGGTTTTAATCACATATTTCTGTGAATAGGCAATGATTTGCATTGTTATTTCCCACTGAGGCATTTCTGAAGTTTGTGAAAAATAAATGATGAGAACATTGCTATGAAGAAATTAAATGACATGGCATGATAAAGAGTGAAGAAATTCAGATCAGTTGGTCTGGGAGGGCCTTGCCAAGGAGGTGGTATTGGAACCCAGGCAGACTGAGAAGAAGGAGCCAGCTGTAAAAAAAATATTGGGGACAGCAAATTCTCAGGAGCAGGCATGGCAAGGACAAAGGCCCTGGGGCAGGACTCAAAAAAGGCCAGGTGGCATTGAGTGTGGGGGCGAGTGGGAACATGGAAGTAGGAGATGTAGGTAGGGAAATGTGGTAGACCAGGTGAAGCCAGGCACTCTAGTAGGGTTGGGCAGTGTCCTGAGGCTTCACCAAATGTATCATCTCATTGCAAAGTGCTGCTTGTGCTGTGAATTCACTGACTTTGGAAAATGGCTAAACTTCTCTGAGTCTCAATTTTCCCACCGGTCAAATGAAGGTGCTGGATTAACATATGAAAGCTTCTGGCCGGGGGCTGCTGACTGGGAGGCACAGTCTATTGAACATCCAGCTCTTGGTTTTGGCTCAGGTTAAGATCTTGGGGTGGTGAGATTAGGCCCCACGTCCAGCTCTGTGCTCAGCACAGAGTTTGCTTGGGTTTTTATTTTCTTCATTTCATAAACGGAAGCATGTATCTCCTACTCCCCTTCATCCATTTGGCCCATCTTCTACCCGCCCCCTCCCCTGGCAGCATCAGTTTGTTTTCTGTACTTGTGGGTTTGTTTCTGCTTTATGTTTTGTGTTTATTCATGTTTTGTTTTTTAAATTTTACATATAAGTAAAATCATAGTATTTACCTTTTTCATATAGTATTTGTCTGACACATTTCTCTTAGCATAATACTCTCTAGATCCATCCATGTTGTTGCAAATGGCAAGATCTCATACTTTTTTATGGCTGAGTAGTATTCTAGTGTGTGTGTGTGTGTGTGTGTGTATCTTTATATGGTATATAAACCACTTCTATATCTATTTCCATATATACCACATCTTTATCTATTCATTTATTGATGGACACTTGGGTTATTTATATGTCTTGGCTGCTGTAAATCATGCTGCAGTAAATAAAGAGGTGCATGTATCTTTTCAAATTAGTGTTCTTATTTTCTTTGGTAAATACCTACCAGTGCAATTACTGGATCATATGGTATATATTTTTCTTAAAAATATTTTGAGGAACTTCTATGCTGTCTTCCACAGTTGCTGCACCAGTTTGCATTTCCACCAACAGCGCATGAGGGTTCCCTTTCTCCATCTCTTTGCCAACACTTGTTTCTTGTCTCTTTGATTCTAGCCATTCTTTTGCATGTAAGATGATACCTCATTACAGTTTTTATTTGTATTTCCTTGATAATGAGTGATAGCAAGCACCTTTTCACATTCCATTGGTCATCTATATGTATTGTTTGGAAAATTGTCTAATCAGTTCCTCTGCCTGTTTTTAATCAGATTATTTTATTTTCTTGGTGTTGGGTTGCATAAGGTCTTTATATATTTTGGATGTTCACCCCTTATCAGATATATCATTTGCAAATATCTTCCATTCAGCAGTATAAACCTGGAATCATAAACCACCTTCTATCTATATTCTTCCTTGGAGATCAAGTAGGCCCTGCTTCACCCCATTTCTCAGCTGATGACATTATCTTGCCTACTATCACCCCACACTCCAGAGGAAGATCCAGTGACGATTTGGGGGAGGGAATGGAGTGCCTTCTACTTGTTGGACACCAATGGAGTCTGCAGAATTTTGTCAGGGATGTGTGTGTTGCTGGAGAGGGGACAGAAAGGAGGGGTGATAACATAGAAGGATAAGAAACAGACTCTTCTTATAATCTGCATTGGTTTGGCAGAAGAAAATGCAAAAGCTGTTATTTCCAGCCTGAACTTGTTAGATAAGTGCCCAATGAACACTACTGAGCAAGAGCAAGGAGTCGGGGAATTCAGAGGAGGGTGACAAAGCTGACTCATAGAAGTCATATATAATTACTGGTATCCCTACAAGAATAAGACTGTTGAAAGTTTATTGGAGGCAAAGCACCATGCTAAGTGGTATACATATGTTTTGTTTAACCCCCACAGAAACCTCATGAAGAAGGCGATTATAACACTATCCATGAGATACTGCTCCCTAGAGCAAGGAGGAATGGGAGGTTCTTCCTAGGCTGAAGGAATAATGTGAACAAAGGCAGGAATGCACAAGGGGGTCCCTCTTTATTTGGCTATTGTCCACTGGATTCCCTATAAGCAATATTGAAATTATCTAGAAACATTGTCTCCTCCTCCCCATTATGTCCTCCCCCAAGCCCACATCTGCTCAAAGTAGTATCTGTTTACTCCAGACTAATACATTTTTAAGGGCAATTCGAGCCCATAGGGGCAGCCAGGACCTGATAAGGCACTTCAGGATATTGTCCACCAATTAAATTCCCATGGCTTTCTTGGGTTTAACGTGCCCACCCCTCTTAACCCCTAAGAGCACGGGAGAAAAGCCCTGAACACGATACCTCCAAAATTCAGAACCCACAGAGGTGCAGAAATAATCAATAACATGCAACAACCTACACATGGCTCACATGTATATGGCATTATATCGTGTCTCTCCTGAAAGCTGTGTGAGCCTTGCTGGCGTTCCGGGCCCCCAGGCCACGGGCTATAGGTTTTGCTATCGAATCAAGATCCAGGGAAATGGAGAACATTCACTATATTTGCTACTGTGAAGACAGTATTATTATTATTATCACTTTCGTTGTGATAATTGCAGTGAGGACTTTTTTGTTTTGTTTTAAGGAGGCCTTATCTTTTCCAGAGTCATATAAAAAATTTGTTGTCAGGGAGGACGTGGGGTGGAGGAATGGGTGAAATGGGATTCAGTCTCTCAATCAGTAAATGTGGAAACTGGGTGAGAACTTCACGGGAGTTTATTATACTGTTTTCTCCACTTTTCTATGTGAAATTTTCCGTAATAAAATGATTTCTAAAAAAAGACTGGATCTGATTGAAGAATTGAAGCATGAGAGGTGAAACAATGGCCCTCAGAAGGGACAGTGACTGCAGTAGTACCAGCTCTTTTTCCCCAGCAAAGACCCAAAGACACTCTGGGCTCTGTGACAAGAGGGAGGGGTCTTGTATTTAGGCAACTCATTAACAAATAAGCTCCACAACAGAAATAAACAAGCAAAGCCCAAGACTGTCCACATTTACACATTTATTTGGGTTTAGAGAGACAACACAGATAAAATACTTTGATCATACACAAGTTTATATTTGGTAAGAAGAACAGGTTGCCACATGTTTATATTTTTTTATTTTTTTCTGTCGTTAGTTATGGTGTCATGTTGGGGAGATGTTGATGTCTTTCAGAAACACCAATTGGGAACAGTATTTTGGAACACGTGACTAATAAATACACAGTGTTTGTACTTAGCATCTGAAAACAGGAGAGCACGTGCAAGATGATACCCACCATCAGGGTCCTTGATTCCCTGGCCTGCTGCTATATTTACACCTGTGCTTTCTTTATTCATATTCTGAGTCCCTACCCCAAACCCCAGCGGAGACAGTACCTGCAATTGGGGTGGTTTGTGACACTCTGTGTGGGTTTCTTCTCTTCTCGGAGATGAGTAGCGTTCACCTTGCATTTTGCAAATCACACAGTTATCAAGGGAGATTTCTCAGTAGGGAGCTTAGCCTAGGGCATGTTCTCTGTTAGAGCTGATGTGGAGGGCACACAGTTTAGCAGAAAGAGGGAGAGGGAGAGAGAGAGAGGGAGAGAGAGAGAGAGAGAGCGAGCACAGGAACAGATGCGGATGTAGTTCATAATATCGATACAGCTACCACACAGAAAAAGACATGTCAATAATAGATTGTACAAGCTTTTACAGCAACATATGTTGATTTGCAACACTGTACAGTTCAGAGCTAAAGTGCACAACCCCAATCTGAGGTGACGAGACAGTGCTATCAATAGAACGAAGGCAACACGATTTATACACACAATTGATGTCCTTAGCTTTCAGTACACGAAGTCAATACCATTTATGCGTCTCAGATGAAGACATACCACACTTTTTATTTCAAGTATTTAAAAATAACAAACACAATATTGCTGAATAAATAAAAATGGCCATGTCAATTCTGATTAAGCTAAAACCAGGCTTTTCTAAAATTTGTAAAGGATCGTCCCACATAAAGGCCTTTGGCACTGGGATTTTGAGCTAATGTTCAAAACCACCTTCCTTCTTCCCTTCCTCTCTCCCAAGTAGATTGCAGACTTACTTTAAAGCATATTTATTAAACTACTGGAACCTGTTAGGCTTTTCTTTACCTCCTCTCCTTGGTTATGATTGGCAGGGATTTCACTGCATAGGATTGGGCAAGACTCCCAGCCAACCTGGAGAAGAATCTGGAAAGGGCAGGAAGTGGGGGAAACAATCTATTTGTAAAGATTATTTTTCTGGAATATCATACATAGGCACAAATGTTTCTCCTTTTAAATACCATCATACCATCAAGTTAAAAAAACAGCAGCTTCTGTTAGAAGATCTTTACTGCAAGGTATAAGCATCCTGGAGTTGAGAGGGGTCTGTCCAGGACAGGGCCCCTTCTTCTCAAAGCAGGACAGTGGGCTTGACAGTTAGTGTCTCTGCCTCTGAGGTAGGACCTTTTAGCCTGAGGCTCAAGACTATGTGCATAGCCTCAATGGCCAACTTCTAGAAAGGAAAGGGATGCTTGGCCATTGAACATAGCCTAGACTACTTATTCCTTTATGAAGTTCTGGGGCACAGATAAAAATTTTCTCCTAATCATCATAGGGAACCCATTTACTTCCAAGACAGGAAGGATCCACACCTATGTTGAATTCAAGTATAAATGTTTTTGTATATAATGTAGGAGGAAGAATGTAGGGGCAAGCTCATGCAGATTTCAGATGGTTAGATCTTATGGTTATAATATAGGGCATTTCTTTTTTTCTTCCCTTGTATACTTGTAGGCTAACTAGTAATCTGACTGGTCCATATAGAAAGGATGAATGTTCTAAGGTGGTGCCTGTAGTCTGCATCTGTGAATCTGTAGTCGTCATACTACTACTTGGGTTCTGATAAACTGTGGCCCCACAAATATGGGAGTTCTTGCTAGCTTGGGTCTCTCCATCAGGTTTGCAGGGGAAGAAGAATGCTTTAAAGTATTATCCTGAATTCTAAGAATCTACTATCTTACTATCTCTGCACACTCTGGTCACTTTGGATTTTGACAAGAGGCAGGTAAAAAAGGTCTTAAGATGCTGTCTCAAAATCTCATGAGAGGAACATAACCCCCTGTGGGATAGAAATTAAGTATTTGGGATTCCAGTGATGGGAAGCCTAGCAGGAGAGAACTTTGGTGAGTAGGAGAGGAAGGGAACTGGAAGAAGCAATTACCCAGGAGGTGAATGACTCCTTCTTGGACAGTGACAATATGGGTGCCCAGGATGACATCATTGTTCTCACAGAGATCTCTTCTCTCATGGCCGAGTTTAATTTTCTGGGCTCACCACCTTCTGGAGTGTGCTTCATTCCATTTTTGCTCAGGCTGATTAGATTTTATGTTTATTTTTCCCTAATTAATCCAAATGACCTAATAAAAGAATACTGTGTGGGAAGATGCCTCAAGAATGAGCATCCACCTTCTGTTCAAAACAAGCTGAACTGGAAAGCAGAGTACACACAATTACTCTAGTTTTAGTCTAAGATGAAGCTTGGCTTTTCATGTTTACTGAGTGGGTCCACTCAGGGTCAACTGGGTGGAAAACTTAACTGGGAAGAGAATTTTATTGTCCATCTGGTCAGTCATTTTAGAGAACTTGCAATATTCTTTTGTGTTTGTTTTGTAATACTAACTTTAGAGATGTGATAAGCCGCAACATGAATAGAGAGAAGGCATTAACCTTTTTAAGAATTTGTGGGCCTATGTTTCAGAATGACTTTGCTCAGTGTTTTATTGTGCCTCCATTAAAAGAAAGAGAAAAAAAAAATCTGGCTTAGTTTTTATATCTGCCCCTGCAGTTTGTATAACCCATATAAAATAAAAATCTATATGTTACAAAATAGGATTTCTTTTTAATATATATATTTTCCTTTTGTAAAATTATATGTATTTAAATACATTTGAAATGTTGCTATAGGTAAATTAGAAATTTTTTTCTAATACTATGAAAAAGGCAAGAGTTTTTATTGTCAACATACATTTTATATGTACTTTCTTCTTTTGACTGCACCCCAAAGAACCTTTTAGGATTCAGGGGCAATTTGGCACTATTCAATCCTACTACTCTGAAGTGAAAATAAAGCTTGATTCGCATACTATATTAAAAGTAAGGGAAGTATTTATAACAATTTTAAGCTTTTCATTATCAATTAGAACACAGCCTCTTGTCACTAATTTTAGAGAGGTATTCTAAACTTAGGAAAGGATTTTTAAAAGGAGCAATGTTTTTTGGATTTTTAAACTGTACTCTACTTTGACACCACAATATAGAAATAGATTTACTTTGGAACAAACTACAAATACATTCACACAGTTTGTGACAACTGAATTGTCTACCTAGAGAATCGAAACAGATTGGTGAGCTATGTTATTATAAATCTTGTCCAAGGCGTTCTATTTCTTCAATCAGGAAGTCGATGTCTTGGTGAGTTGCTGCGGGATTTGAGATAACCATGCGGAAGAAATTGACCTTGTCTCCCAAGGGCTGATAGCTGACCATTGTGGTCCCATACTCCATCATTCGGGCTTTAATCACTGGGGCCACCTGTGGGAGAGACCAGAGCCGCATGGTGACCCCTGGGGACTCTTCTAGTCAAAGAACCCAATATCAAGTAGCATTTTTAGCTTTTAACTAAACAACCAGACTCATATTTCCCCTAAAGGAATTGTCTCCAAGTTTTTTTGGGATCGGAGGACAAGAGCAGTTTAATACATCCAAATTCTTGAGGGTGATAAAATGAATAATAAATGATAGGCTCTGAGGTGCTTGCCCCCTTATCCTTGACTTTATGAAAAAGAAAACTGCAGGCCCCAAACAGAGTCGCTTATGCTAGACCACACCACCAAACCTGGGCTTTATACCTAATCTAATTGCACTTTCAATGTCCCCCAGGAATATAGTCTTAACTGGTCACTCAGGAATCTTCTGGTCAGCATCAATATGGTACTCAGTCACATGGTCTCTCCCCATCTCCCAGAGAAACATGAGGTAATCACCTAGTAAGACCCTTCTACCCAAAGGAAGGTGACCTCGCCTGGAATAATTCTCTGTTCTGTTTGTGACTTCCTTGTCCAGCCTTTAAAAACCTCTCTCTTTCTATAAGCTCCTTAGAGCTCCCCTCTACTTCCTAGATGGGATGCCGCCCAATTTATGAATCAATTCATAAATCCAGTTAGATCTTTAAAATTTACTCAGTGGAGTTTTTGTTATTTAACAACCATGTAGTTATGGATTTGGGAGAATGGGAAGAATTGGGTGTTGGTTCCAAGGCTAAATAGTTTAGCAATACAGTATTTGGGGGAGGGTTGTTTTTTTCTTTTTTTTAACCTCAGTAGATACAAAAACACTGGAAATAAAACATAGTTCAGAGAATGGTAACCAAGAGGTAACCAAGTGATGTCTGAAAATAAGCAGACTTTTGAGGCCCTAAAGCAATTTTCTTTCCTGAGACCCTAAAGCTTTCCAATGTCTTTTCATTCTCCTTTTTGCATTATCTCAGTTTATAAGATTTTATGAAATACATTCTTTAATCATGATGGAATTCAGCTGTGGCAAAAAGCAGAGTATATATATATATATCACAGAATGATTACTGTCAGTAGAGTGTATGAGATGAAGTTCAAGCTCTCTAGCTCAGCACAAAGGTATTTTGTCCCTCAGCTCTGAGGATTCATCTCCAAGTGGTCACTAAAATCAATCTTCAACTCTGAGACAAGACCTACAGTCAATATCCCTTGAATGTGCCACACATATTTTTCTTCCTTTATGCTTGTCCTCAGTTTTATTGTGTCACACTTCTTGTCTTGGATTAGAGTCCCCTTTCTCTTCCAGGTTGCATCCTACACACATGCCAAGACTCCACCACAGACTTGATAAAGCATTATAAAGCCTTTCCTGATTCCCCTAGTCCGGTAGCATCTTTTCTTTTTTAAGTTGTAAATACCTGATCTTTACCCATAGATTCTGTCTACAGGATATTTCTTTATTGTCATCTTACTTATAAGAAAATATAAGTTATCCATAATTTTGAAACTGCAAGCACTGAAGGGCAGACACAGTGTCTTTTACTTCTTTTATTTGCCAGCATAGCACTGTGTGTACACTGAGGGCTCCGCAAGTCCTTATTGGTTAATAAAGACTAGAATAATAGGGATAGCTATCCAGGAAGAGGAATACATTTAACTTATGTCTAGCTGTATGTATGATCTATTCACATTTTTACCATTACAATTTGTAAATATAACATCTGATCATTTAAATTTATTGTTGCAAATATGTAACCAGGAATGGCTGATATCAGGGAGCTCTAGACTTACTTAGATATACACAGTAAGTAACTCAGTTCGAAATGGGGACTATTCCTCACATCATAGTTGGATTCATTTTAATGAATAGTTTGATTCAAAGAGAATACTATTATGAATATGCAATTTTTGAACATCAACACTTAATCATTGGTTTATAGTGAGGTTTTCATCTTCACAGTACTCAATGTGCGAATGACATATTGTATAAAGGGTTAGTATCCAAAATCTATAATTAACTTATAAAGCTCAACACCCAAAAACAAATAATCCAATTAAAAAATGGGCAGAAGACATGAACAGACATTTCTCCAAAGAAGTATCAGATGGCCAACAGATGCATGAGAAGATGCCCAACATCACTCCTCATCGGGGGAAAACAAAAACTACAATGAGATTTTACCTCATACCTCAGCTGACATAAAAAATACAAGAAACAAGTGTTGATGAGGATGTGGAGACAAAGGAACCCTCTTGCATTGTTGGTGGGAATGCAAACTGGTGTAGCCATTCTGGAAAACAGTATGGAGTTTCCTCAAAAAGTTAAAAATAGAACTACTCTACAATCCAGTAATTTCACTACTGGGTATTTACTTTCAAAATACAAAAACACCAATTCAAAGGGATACATGCACCCTATGTTTATAGCAGCATTATTTACAACACGCAAATTGTGGAAACAGCCCAACTGTCCTTTGATTGATGGATGGATAAAGAAAAGGTGGGGTGTGTGTGTGTATTAGAATGGGATATTATTTACTCATGGAATTATTATTCACTCATAACAAAATAATGAAATCTTGCCATTTGCAACAATATGCATGTATCTAGAGAGTATTATGCTAAGCAAAATAAGTCAGAGAAAGACAAATACCATATGATTTCATTCATATTTGGAATTTAAAAAATAAAGCAAATGGGGCAGCCCTGGTGGTGCAGCGGTTTAGTGCCGCCTGCAGCCCAGGGCGTGATCCTGGAGACCCTGGATTGAGTCCCATGTGGGGCTCTCTGCATGGAGCCTGCTTCTACCTCTGCCTGTGTCTCTGCCTCTCATTCTCTCTCTGTGTCTCTATGAATAAATAAATAAAACATCTTAAAATAAATAAAAATAAAACAAATGATCAATGGAAAAAAAGAAGAAAACCAAGAAACAGACTCTTAACTATAGAGAACAAACTAATGGTTACCAGAGTAGAGGTGGGGGTGAGCGGGGTGGGGGGGCAAAATAGGTGATGGGGATTAAGGAGTGCACTTATAATGAGCACCAGGGGATGTATGGAAGTGTTGAATCACTATATTGTACACCTGAAAGTAATATAATACTATGCTAACTACTTGAATTAAAATTTAAAATTTAAATATTAAATATAAATTAAAATTTAAATATTAAGTATAAAAACCCCAAAACAAAGTATCCAATGTTCAAAACTGACCTATTTCTCATCATGCCCAATTATTAGATACCAAAGAGAAAACCAAGGACAGTTTATCTTCACTTTCATTTCACCTTCACGTCATATGCTGAACCTAATTTCATTCATCTAAAAAATGAATGTGTATGATGATTCCAGCACTGGGATTTTCTTTTCTTTTCTTTTTTTCTTTTTTTTTTTTGGAGGCACTGGGATTTTCTGATTCTAGGTTAACAGTTTCTTAGGTTTCTTTCTGCCACTTTTTTATTACACAGGAAGGTAATATAAAGAGGAATATTTCTGTTGGGTTGATCCTTCTTTCCCCTAAAGGGTTAAGGTTGTACATAGAGCACTGGGCTCATCCCAGGGAACAAGTATGAAAACAAATTTAAATATCTCAAGTCTGGGATTAAGTTCTGAAAGTGGATCTACTAGAATATTCTAGCATAAGAACATGAAATTTATCACTTTGTGCTATGAGACATGGCAAATCAATGTGTTCCTGGGGAGAGAAATCCCAAATTAGGAAAGGAATTCCAAATCCATGTGTCTACGGGAATTTTAGGAAGAATCACATTCCTATTCCTATTCCTTAATTTTTATTTTTGTAATAAATCATGCTTGCTCTTTAGAACTGATAAAAACAATGATAGTGCTTTCCTCAGTGAATTAAACTCTGATTTCAATTTCATGGGCCATCCATCCAAAAACCATTGGATGGTTTTAATTACTAAAGATAATCATCTCTAACTTTTCAGATAAATCAAATCAAAGGTCAAAAATTTAAATGGTAACAGTTATCATCCCAAACAGGTTTTGGTGTAAAGTCAGATCAAATTCCTCCAGTTCCTGAAGCTGGGTTGGAGAAATCGCAGTTGTCTAAATTCATGACTTTTAATTGCTTCCAGAAAATGGGGATGAATTAAAATTAGCAGGAACATGGAACATCTACTTTATTGCATAATCACTAATTGCAAGTTCAGAAGGAAAATAAGATTCTGACTCTTCTGATGAATATATAGCATTTTCACTTATTTCTAGATGTTTTCTTTTGGTCATATTCCCAGTTCTATTGAATAAAGAGAGTCAGAAAAGAGAGGCTGCATGTTGAAGACTTCACTAAAGACCTACTCACCAGGAGCTCTTAGGGCTGCCTTATGAGTTTTAGGGTGTCATTTTCTCCCTTGTGTTGTTAGCTTTTACAATCCCTTAGAAAACAATAACCAGGGAACTATCCCATCATTTGAATCCACATTTGTTTCTCCCAAGCGAGCTCAGGTTAAAGCATCACAGAATCAGAGAAATGTATTTTTTCACTATGTATCACAAAACCTTTTTGTTTTGAAATCTTGGAAATACGAGTGAAGTTTTTGGAAAAATGAAAAAGAATAACTGTACATACTTTAAAATTTCACAAATTAAATTCCTCGTTACATTTAACAACATAGACTTTGGAAGAGTGACACCTTAAAAGTTGAGGCCAATCTACTTCCTTGCCAATGGACTTTTCAATCTACTGTTGACCTTTTGGATATCCATCAATCATTATAGGACTGGTAGGAGCTGGGATCAGATACACAGATAATTATCCAATACAATGGAATAAAATACAAGGCTAAGATGATGAAGAACCAGGATTCTTGTCTGATACATGCCCACATGGACTCCACCTGCTGGCCCTGCCTTGTGTCTAAGGCATCTGCATATGGTCATATGGCACCCCAGGCCTTCTGTGTCCCCTGTGCCTCAGTGACGATGAGCCACCTGAACACTCACAGCCCTGACCAGGCAGCAGGAAATGCACCAACCAGAGGCTCATCTTAGCCTCCCTCATGTAGTTGTTGACTCTGCTCATAATAACACCTACCTGCTGCTTAGATCTGTCCCCACATCAGTGTGAGCTATGGGAAAAGGCCTATGATCCATTAGTAGGCTTCCTAAGTGTTGTTTCTGCTCCCTGTTCTGAAATGTGTAAATGGCACGATAGCTCAGCAAACATTTTTGAGTGCCATATTGTATGCTAAGCCGTGTACCAGACAAGAGGGCTCGGGAATTCTTCCTAGGAGTGTCCAGAATTTGGCCACACACTGCACAGCAGACTCCACAGATTCCTCCCATTTGGGGGTCTATATCAGCACTGACTGAGAGAACTTTATGTAGTGATAGAGATGTGTTGTATCTCCTCTATCTGCTACAGCAGCCACTAATCACAAGTCAAGCTCTTGAAATGTGATGAGTGCAACTGTAGAAGTAAACTTCTGGTGGAATTTAATTTTGATTGATTTAAATTTAAATGCCACATGTGGCTATTGATACCATATTGGATAGAGCAGGTGATCTATTTTATTTTACCTTCACTGTTTTCCCCCTGGGGTTGTGTGTATGTGTACGTGTGTGAACGTGTGAAGATTTACTGATCCCGGGACATTATACTTTAAGGGCTTTATACTTAAGAAGAAACTTTTCTGTAACTCTGAAAAATTATTGACATAAAAATTTTTTTTTAATTTTTATTTATTTCTGATAGTCACAGAGAGAGAGAGAGACGCAGAGACACAGGCAGAGGGAGAAGCAGGCTCCACGCACCGGGAGCCCAACGTGGGATTCGATCCCGGGTCTCCAGGATCGCGCCCTGGGCCAAAAGCAGGCGCCAAACTGCTGCGCCACCCAGGGATCCCATTTTTTAAAATTTTTTTTTAAATTTTTATTTATTTCTGATAGTCACAGAGAGAGAGAGAGAGACGCAGAGACACAGGCAGAGGGAGAAGCAGGCTCCACGCACCGGGAGCCCGACGAAAATTATTGACATAAATAAACAAAAGTTAACCTTGATATTTAATGTGGTTCTATTGTGAATTGCAACTCTGAATTGCTGAATTCTCTATATTCTAGCCAGGAAAATGGAATCACAGAAGACTTTCAAATTTGAATTACCAACTGTATAAAAAATAGTTGACTACTGTTCTAATGGCTTTCCCCAGAAATAGTCTCCATTCTCATCACAGTTTATGTGATTTGCTAAATCCCGAGAGGCATCTGAAAAGAGCTATATTGAAATGGGGGAAATTTAGAGTTGAGTTTTGCTCAGAAAGTAGTGGGGAAAACCACTTTCTGTTCTGTTTTCCAATCTTGCCCCATCCCTCAGCTCAGCAATAATAAATTGACTCAACAAATGAAATCGGCCAAATTACTCCTTGGATTCTGTCTGGTCACTGGGTTCATTAAAGAGGTAGAGCCAGTAAGAATGAAAACCTCTAATTTCTAACTAACTTGTTAAATAAAATTAGTTATTGGTAAGATGATACAGAAGCTATACCATAAAACTTCAGGAGAAAATTTGAATTCTTTCCTCTCAAATGACAACAGGCCCCTTTTTGCCTCCATCATCTTCTCCAATGTGACCGTCACCCTGCCTCCCTCCTACTGCTTGGGCTTGATTTCTTGCAATGAACAAATGAGCTAACTTCATTAAAACTTCAAGCATGACCATGACGCCTCCTCTCTAGACACATGCACCAATGGTTCCCCATTCCAGAAGCTTTCTTTCATGCATTCCTCTGGGTCAGTGGCTCTGTGCCTGGGCTGCACACTGAGATCACCTGGAGAGCTTTTAGAACCATTCCCAAGCCCATCCAAAACCAACTGGATTAAATTCTCAGGGTTAAGACCTGGTCATCTATAAAGCTTTAGGCTGATTCTAATGTGCCACCAGGATTGCAAACCACTACCCTTAGTAGGAGGCTATGACACCTCAACTCTGTGTCAGTTTCCTCCTGATGAGGGTTTGGTCTTGGACTGTCTACTGGCAGATGTTCACATTTATAAGCCGTTCTGAAGATTTTAAAACCACACAAAATCCTGTTGTTTGACATAGAAGGAAATAAAGTATTCTGAAAGGTCAGTGAGGCAGCCCAGCCTCCTTTGCAGTGGGGGAGAGGGCCTTCCCTGCTCCTGGCAGTGACTGGAGAAAGTCGCCTCCTTTGTGGTAAATGGAAAACCAACAAACCAACTAATCCAACCCTTGAGATCCAAATATACACAATCATCCCTAGTTTCCTATTTCTTCACACTGGGATGGGGCCCCAAATTTACCTCCTTTCAAGATTCTTTGTTGCACATCATAAGCCAAATTTCACCCTTACCTAAATGATGAGAGCAGGAGAAGAAAAGAGGTCAAGGATATCTTACTGGCTGCAGAAGAATTTGAAGCCCAAACCCTCTGGCTCTGGAGTCAGTGATTTTGGAAAAGTGATTTTTTAAAAAGTCTCCCTGTGCTTCAGTTTCCCCATCAGCAAAATGGGGACAGTTGTGCTTCCCACATTAGGTTGAAATAAGTTTCTAGGCCCATGATGGGGTTGCTCCTGCCCAGGATGTCACATCAGGAAATGTACACTTAACTTTTATGTCCCTGTAAATGCTCTGTTTGACCAGAAACATGGAATATCCAGTCAGCCAATCCCCAACGTCAATTCAACCCTGCATTCTATTCTTATTTTGTTGTTCCTTACTCATTTTCTTTTTCTTTTCTTTCTTTTTTTTTTCTTTTAGAGAAAGAGAGAGGGTGCATGAGTATATGCATGCATGCACACAAATGGGTGGGAAGGGGCAGAGGGAGAGGAAAGAGAGAATCTCAAGCTCTCCACACCCAGCATGGAGCCCAATGTGCAGCTCCATCTCACAACCCTGAGATCATGACCTGAGCCAAAATCAAGAGTCGGACGCTTAACCGACTAAGCCCCTTAGGTGCCCTTCCTTACTCACTTTCTGTCTTTCTCTTCCCATTCCTTATTCTTTATCCTCTAAAAGCTTCTTGCATTCCATCCCATTTTTCAATTCTCTGGACCCCTGGGAAGGGAGGCTGCCCGCTTCATGAAGTGTTAAATAAAGTTTGTTTGTGTCACCTCAATTGTCTCCTTTAGTCATTTCTAACACTTAATATAGTTGAGTGTTGTAATACTAGATCAGAGTTAAGCCTGGGACATGATATGCACTCTACACCGTGGCCATTAGTATTGTTCCCTGCCCCATTACCTCCTGGGGCTCAGCAGAGCTCTAAAGACTCCATAGAGCAGCCTTGACCTTGGCATCTCAAGAGAGTCAGCGGCAACTCTGATTTCTAACCATCTCTGGTGCCTGAAATCTCTTCTGTGCTTATAACTGGATGAGCACAGACGGTTTGGCTTGGTGGGTCAGCCAACTTCACCAAAGGTTTTTGCTGCATCGTGAATGGCAGTCAAGCTAACACCTGACTGTTTATTTTAAGACATCATAAACTTCCTCTCAGGAATCAAAGACAAGAATGGAAAAGTCTAGGTAGACCAGCTCTGGTTCTGTAGGAGCCTGTGAAGGGGAGTGGGCCTGCGTGCCAAGGTCGAGGTTGGATTTCTCCTAGAGACACATGCATGTCAGAGGGACACCGTGCATGTGAAAGGCCCAATGAACACACCACTGCGCACACCAGAGGAGCCTGTATCACTTACCTTTGAGAGGCGGTTCATTCTCTCTTCATTGTCTTCCAGGACACGCAAACTTGGAGGCACGTACCAGAAGCAGACATTTGTGTGCTGAGGCTGCAAGGGGGAAAGGTAGGATTCACACTCAGCCAATCGCAGCAATTTAGAAAATGCCAAGGACATTTCAAATCTCTTCTGCAGCTTCCGAGTGTAATTTCTATTTTAAACCTATAATCCCTTTTGGAGTGCCTGACTTTCACCACATTACACAGAGATATTGTTTTGTGAGTTTGATTTTTTACTCCAGTTTGGGACAGCTACTCCATCAGCCCAGCTTCTCCCTTGTAACAGTCCCACTTACCTGGACAGTACACGATTGACATAAAAAAAAAAAAATCAGTGATAAGAACTGGAACTGACTTAACTTTTGGGGAGCATAGGGACCAGAATACATACCTTTCCATCAAACACCATTTCGTATCCTTCTCGGTTTTTTATGATATTGTATAAATACTCAGCCAGCTCCAAGCACTTATCAATATGTGCTTCAAATCCAGTGGTGCCCTGAGAAAGAGAAGAAGAAAGCCCATCAGGCTGGCTGAGAAAGGCGAGTAAGCTCTCTATGGGATTAATCTCCTCCGATGGTTTCTCTGCCAACCTCCGCCCCAGCTCTGCTCCACACTTCCCATGCACAAGACTGTGTATAGGGGCTTTCCTAGTGATTATTTCTCCTTTGATGCTCTCCCCTCAGGTGTTTTTGTTCCTTTCATGTCATCACAGCTCCCTACAGCGGATTCCTTTTCTTCCCGAGCCTCCATTCTCCAGGCAATTATTTTGATTACTCGAGGGGAAATTTTGCCTCTGCCATCCCGAGGGGTAATTATGGAAGTCATTAATGACAGGAGCCTGGGCTATTCTCCTGTGGAGAAGAAGCATCATCAGAGACACCCCCAGCCAGCATGCCTGCTTAGCCTCTGCCCATCATGAAAATTTACCATTTCCAGACCCTACTTTTGTTCACTAGTGTACCCTCATTATAGAACAAATAGGGTAGGTACTCAGTAGATATTTGTTGAACAAATGAATGTATGACTCTTAGGGGCACGCAGATGCTTTGTTAGCTTGTCATTGTGCAAAGCTCATTAGATTTCTCCTCTGGGGATAAATGACTCATGTATTTGTAATGGGCGAGCATTATCAGAGAGGTCTTTTTAGTTTCCGGCTCTGGAAGCCCAGGATCTGGATTTGGAAAAAAACGCTATAGCCGAGGACTGGTGCTGTTTGATGGACCTCAGGACACTTCGGGGAGTTACTTTTCAAAATGGCTTTCCTCCTAACTCCTTCAGCATTTGTGGCGCACTAATGGAAAACAGCTAATGCTCATCCTAGGAACACTTATAACAGGCCAACCAGTGACTGATCCAACATGGAAACCTGAGGGTGCAGCTGGAATGGATAGAAGATGGGCCCACAATCCTACTGATGATCTCATCACCTCAGCTAAGAGGGAGATGCAGCATAGACAGTGATTTCAACATCTTGAAGCCTTAAAGAAATCTGATGGGGTCAGGAATCATTTCTTCTTTTTTTAATTTAAATTCAATTAGCCAACATAGAGTACATCATTAGTCTCAGATGTACTGTTCAATAATTTACCAGTTGTAAATAACACCCAATGTTCATCACACCACGTCAGGAATCATTTCTATGGAGATTGTCACCCTAGTTGATTGGTCAGAGTCTGACTTGTTACTGATGACCCCAAGAAAGGGTCCTGATTGATGCCTGAACACTCAGGCCAGAGTCTACCCCACAGACTCTATGACTTTAGGATTTGGGGTCTGTTTGGACTGACCTGGCAGTTTGGGTACCCTGAGGATGGACCCGAGGTAGGAGGGAGGGAAGTTAATTGTTCTTCAGACTGGACCCTTTTGCATTTAAACTTGCATGTACCTGATCCAGAATATGGCCGGGACCAGTAGGACTCTGGCTCTGTCCAGCCACATGGCCTTGGCTAATCTTACTGGTCACCTGGGAAGGATGGTGCCTGTGTGATATCCCTCCCACACAGGGACACAGTAAGGTAGAATGAATGCTCTGAAAAGGAGTTTGATGGTACTGCAGAGGCAGTGGGATTGTCCCAGACTGGAGTGGGAGTCCTCTGGCCTTGGCTAGTCTAGGACTTCACTTGAGATGATTAGGAGTAACCTGACCACCCCTCTAGCTGAAAGGGGGAGTGACATCGGAAACTCTAGAGTGCTTTTAGAAGCCTGGCCTCTCTTCATGTTTGGATATTTATGGGAATAAGATCCATCTTTTATTTTCAAGGTCTTGAAGGCTTTTAGGGGATTCTCTGAAATGTATGCACTCATGAAATACTTGAGTCGTTGTCACATGCCACACAGTTCTTATTCTGAGAATGACCACAGCCCCTGGAGAACTTAATCAGACATGGCATTACCAGACCTGTCTTGCTAGGAAGGAAGCTGAGGGCTCTGAGGGGTGCCCCTCAGGGGAATTCTGCACCCCTAGCGTCAGAGTTATGCTGAGGCAACTTCGAGAGAAAGATGGTTTTGTTTGCTCCCTCCTTGCCCACACGCTTAGGATCGGTTTGGGCTGACCAGGCTGAAATGCACGCTCCACAAGGGCGCAGACTGGTGCTTTTTTGCTCGCTATTGTCTTCCTCATACCAGCGGGGCTGGCAGACATCAGGTGCTCACGCACAGTACATTTGTTGAACGGGTGGGTGAATGAATGGAAGTATACTTTTCATCTGCAGGGCAGCATTTTTACCCACTGTGTTCTTAAGGAACCATTTATATGGGCACCAGGTTAATTAGGTCGACAGCGTAGACTCTCAGATCCCAGCCCAGACTCCCTCAGTCCGAATTTCAGGAAGAGGAACAGTGTGTTTTCTTCTTCAGTGATATCACTGTCTGCCAGTGTTCAGCTCCTGCTTCTGTGTTGTCCCTGGGGCCTGACACCATCAGCGCTGCTCACCATTCTCTGCTTCTAAAAACCCTCATCTCATGCTCTCTAGCCCCCAGAAATGCCACTTCAGAAATAATGATTGAATCCTACTACCTTCATTCTCACTGCCAGCCCCCTACTGAGGCCCTCTTTCTATCTGGATGTTAGCTCCCTAATTACCCTCCTAGCTACCTAGACTCTCCACTAGCGTCAGACCTGCTTTTGCAGCATCTTCCCAGCTCTGCTGGTTGAAATCCTACATATTCTCCTATCCTGGAGAATCTCCTATCCTGTCCTAGATCATCTCCAAGGTGACCTCTTCATAAATCATTCTTGGGTCTCAAACTAGGAATAGGCTCTCCTTTCACTTCTCATGCATCTGTGTTTCTTTTACAGCCAGTTATACTGTCTTCTGTGATGGTTATCTGTGCACTTATCTTACCTCGTCTGGAAAATTGTGGCCCCTTCATCCCACCCAGCATCAGGCACGATAACAGTCATTATCTACTTATTACAATTAATATTTTAGAGAGAAAGTGAATATTCATTCAGTCACTCAGCAAAGGGTGCCTGGCATGACTTTTCCTTTAATAGTTTTCTCCTGGTATTTTTTTTTTCTCAGCTGTTGACCAGTCCCTCTGTTATCTACATTTTTAATGAGGGAGGCCAACCACAGAAGACTATAAGGAAATTTGCAATGCAAACTTGAATGATTTGCATAATTTGCATATGTAAACAGATTTACCATGAAAACTAGGTATTTATGTATTAAGCCATCCTCGCAGCCCTAAAATTAAGGTATGTTCTTTCTCTTTCTTTCTTTCTTTCTTTCTTTCTTTCTTTCTTTCTCTTTCTTTCTTTTCTTTCTTTCTTTCTTTCTTTCTTTCTTTCTTTCTTCCTACCTACCTTCCTTCCTTCTTTCCTCCTCTTTTTAAAAAAATATTTTATTTATTCATGAGACACACACACACACACACACACACACAGAGGGGCAGAGACATAGGCAGAGGGAGAAGCAGGCTCCCCATAGGGAGCCCAATGCGGTGTGTGGGGGGCAATCCAGGAACTCTGGGATCACATCCTGAGCCAAAGGCAGATGCTCAAACACTGAGCCATCCTGGCATCCTCTCTTTCTTTCTTTTTTCTTTTTCTCTCTCCCTTGCTCTCTCTCCCCTTCTCACCTTCCCTCTTTATCTCTTTCTTTTTTTTTTTTTTTTCCTATCTACACTGAGTTTTAACCACTGAGGGAATCTGTAAAATCTGGAAAATAGTCATCAAGTCTTACTTAGCATTCTCTAATAAAATACAAACCAAATGAAAGGTCTCCTCAATAAGAACAGAATTGAGGGCAGGCACAGGGCCTTTGCTTATGACAGGCTTATATATTGCACTATTGTCTAAAATGCCTGCTAGCATCCACATCAAGAAGCTCATTTTTTACACACAGTTGCTCTAATCAAATTCTCTTGGACTTAATGGGATGGCTGTCTTCAGTGCATTCAGCTACATCAGTCATTAACAGTTTAAAGAATATGTATAGTCAGGTCAGTAATTTTCTTGTGGTTTGTATTGCTAAGGAGAAAATATGGATTCACTTGAATACCACATTTCCCAGGCAGATTCAAGAATAGAGGGTTTACTGATTAATGCTGGCTCCTCAGTATTTTTCTTGCAGATCATTTTCCTCTGCCAGAGAGGATACCAGATAGAATGTCATAGCCAACTCTTTCTTGGTCCTTCCGAGGGCAGGCTGACTTCTTCCCTGGATGGCATCACTAGAGAGCTCTCACAAGAGGGTGATTACCTTCCCTGCATCTCTGGATTGTAGGACTGAGCTGAAGACTTTTATCAATATTACCATTTCATTTTGCAAAATACGCAGCTTTAAGTTGAAAAGCAAATAGAAGTTTTTGCCATTTACGTGTCTAGATACTGGAGCATGAGGAATTAAAGGAACATGCATCTGTAATTTATGGCTAACTTATGTGGCTACTGGCATTGCTCCTTTTTTTTCTTCCCTCTCCTGGTGCCTTTATTTCAGCGCGTTACAGACTGGATCTTCGGCCCTTATTTCATGCTTCAGCTGTTCCTCTTGTTTCATTCACAACTGATGGCCTCCAAATCATTTCTCTTAGAGCCAACCGCTGCCCCATGCTGGCGAGGAGGCTTCAGATGGAGAAGGGAGCAGCAGGAACTGATGAACCATGAGAAGAACACTTTTGTATAAATATAGCTAATGATCATCATCTTAGAAACACCGTAGGAAGAAGGAGACAAAAAGGACAATACTGAACAATATTTGGAGATCAAGCTTTCCTCAACTACCTAGCTGATACTCACTTTCATCATTTTTGATTCCCACCAATCAATGAAATGAAAAACCTACCCATTTTCCAACCGTTTAAGAGGATGCCAGTAATTCCTGTTCTTGATTTATTTGTTTTTGCCAAATTTAAGTGTCAATCCAACAGAATAATGAGCCTCATCTTGGGTGGTGGGGACCCAGTAAGTATCCTTGGCAGGCTCTCATCTTTCAAGAGAGGAGGGGGCCCCTGCCTAGGTCAAGGGACAGGAGCCCATCCATCTGACACCCCCTTGACGGGGCAATGACTCCACACAGCTGCTCGATATTTAGCAGCCCTTAGAGGAAATTCAGCTAGGGCAAAGACTCTTCTGGAGGTTGGTCTGAAGAATATGTAGCCCAGCCATCCCCGGACACCATCTAAGAGTTATTTCTGCAATAAGTGAGACCATCTTTGTACTTAAACAGCCTTTTTCCTGAATAGATTTAAAGAAGACTCCATAAGAGGGTTGTCGACTACATTATTTCACTCCCAAGCCCTCTCTCTTTCTTGTTAGCTCTCTGGCTCTCTCATCGCTTAAGGCATTCAGTTGACTCTGGAATATCTGACAAACAAGAACATATGGAACTTGCTTCTGTAGACGTGATTCATGCCTCTTCACACAGATCCTGGGGAAGAGCACAATCTTTGGCCTCATCCTGGCAGGTCATATTCATGCTGACCAAGTTATCTATGAATCCCTTAGGACTGAAGTGCCACCTGTTTGTGTGAGCTACTGAGAAAGCATATAGCCCAATCTGTGGCCCTTCTCTCTAGCACACCACATGCCAGCCTTCCTCTAAACTCTCCCCTTCCTTCCTTTGTCAAGTTTCTCTTGTGGACTTTTTGAGCGGGTTGGGTTTTCTAGCAGTTGGTTTACTTTGGCATGTCCAGCTGGCTCTGGCCGTTGCCTCCTGTGGGAGGTAAATGAAACCAGGTGGGAAGTCACTGATATGTGACATTGAAACTAGGAATCTGGTCAAGATGAAAAAGAAACACTTTGCCCTTTCCAGCCTGCTTACATGTCAGCATGCAGGTACTCTCTGAAGGATGCAATTAGGTCCAGCAGGTACTGCACAGCATTGGTTACAGAGTGTCTGTTTCTGAGAGGAGTTATCTAGGATAGTTAAATTCTGAGGTAAATAGAGAAACCTTACAGAAGGGGGTTCCTGTTTTTGTTCTCCAAACAAAAATAGTTGTAGCATTACTCTTCCCAAGGAATCTGTCAGTGGATAAAATCCAAGAGTTGAGAGACAACAACAACAAGAACAAAACAGCAACAAAACATCTCTTAAGAATCCAGATGTTCTGCTCTATAAACAACCTGGGTTTGTTTTCTAGATGAGCGAGCATTAAAAGCAATTTGGCTTATGTTCTTGGCGACACGGAAGGCAGATATCTAGATACAGGATTAAAGAAACTTAATCTTGGGGATAATTTTCAATTTGGAAATCCATTTTTAACCACATTATAAAGGTCACTAGATACAGTTTCTGTCTTTAATTAAAATTCAGCCATTCCATGCATGCTCACCTTTGCCCTCCACATTAGCCATAATTTAAAAACATCAACGTGGCGTCCACACTGTAAGGCCTTATCCCCAGTATCATAGGACAGGTCATAGTGTTTATCTTGCTGGAAGAGGTAGGAGGCATGCATCTGGTTGCAACTCTGCATCAATCCCTAGAAGAGAAGAGAAAACTTAGGAAACTACTGACTTCATTGGGTATTCTGTTAGATATACATTGTGGTGAAAATTATTGAGAAAAAAAACATTTTTTAAAGGGAAACTGAATTTGTCAGAGAAGGAAAGCAGGAAGAATCAAATTTTTTAAATGGGGCCAAGGGGCACCTGGGTGGCTCAATCGGTTAAGTATCTGACTCTTGATTTCATCTGAAGTCATGATCTCAGGGTCATGAGATTGAGTCCCAAATCAAGCCCTGCATGAAGCCTGCTTGAGGTTCTCTCCTGCCCCTCCCCCCCGCCACTGCTCCTTTGCTTGTGCATGCATGTACACACACTCTCTCTCTCTAAAAAAGTGAAAAATAAAATGGCGCCAATATCTGGACAATATGAACTGTTGGGATAGGTCAATTCTGTGGGATAAATAGCTCAGGGTCAAATGTAACTACAGGTTAACAACAAGGGCATAGATGCTTTTACTATCCTTTTAAGAGAATGCGTTCATTTAGAAACAATCATAATCAGAGTATAATGTTCATTCTTTGAGGGAACATCCTGCTGTTTTGGTTTTGCTGTAATTAAAATACTTTACTGGTTCTGTAAATACTCTCTGGTTCTGTAAAATACTAATAGTGTGATTATTCTAGTGTTTCATTCATACTTAGTTCAAGTACTTTATCATTGGGCTGTTAGGTTTTGAGTTCTCTTTGGAAGTCATAGCTTTTAATACAGAATATTGCTACATTTTTATGTTGAAATCAAAAACAATAAAAGCATTGTTATTCTGAGATGTCTTAACCAACCTTTTAAATGCCATGTTCCCCTTCCAAGAGTGGTAGGAGCTTCAGTACTGCATTTTTATACTTGTTTGCTTGTGGTGGTTACAGTGGGATGTTTCACTGCCAATGATCATTAATTTGCCCCAGCATAAGAAGCTTAGGATGGAAAATGGGTGGCAAAGTGACTGAACTATTCCGAAGAACAGTGAATGAATCATGCTCTGACTAAAACAGCATTGTCAATCTCCTCACCAGAAACCCCACCACGTTTCAATTTGTCACGAACCACAGGAAGCCTTTGACTCTTTCATTATCTGCAGTATAATTGTGATTGTACAGAAGCTTTGGCGCTTTTTTTTTTTTTTTCTTGTGACTCATGACAAGAGAAGACTAAAATGTGATCACCTAGTTGAAGTTAGAATTCTTTACAAAAAATTTATCAAATGAGAACAAAATGTAATGCAACTAAAATTTAACTGGGTCCTGAAAGACCAGATGGTAGGCAATGAGGTTGGGTTCGACCCTATAGTTTGTGCTTCATTTGCAGTGGAATTCATTGTTATTTTTTTGAGAGTGAGGGAAATTAAAGGATTGTAATAGAGCAGTGGAATGACAGTGGATTTGAAAAAGAAAATTCACTTGAAGACCAATAAGATTGAAAATTGCAACAGGTGTTTCTATTTTGTTTGTCTCAGAAGCTTGGCCTGAAGCTCATTCACAAAAAAAAAGGTTCCGACAGTCATAAAGGAGACCACCCAAGAGTGTGGAATGATGGATAAAGTGGATCTGGGATAGGAAACGCAGCTCAAAACACAGGACCTCTCAAAGGCTGGCCAAGCACCCATCTCACTGTATAAATGGATAAAAAAAAGTGATGTTTTTCACATAAAGGGCCTTGATGTGATGATACTCTGATTCTAAGCCATTAAAATTATAGACCATTATGTGGCCAACTATTTTAAATACACTCATAGTTGCTGTGCTATAAGATAGTTGCTGTAAAAGAAATTCCCATGGTCAAATAAATTTAGGAAACTATATCCTAAATCCCTTCTTCAAAGATACTTGCAATGTATATCACCATATTAAAGGCTCTGACATGCCTTCAAGTAATTAAACGTCCTTTTAACTCTTTAATCTAAAATCTCCCAGGATTTTTTTAAACCCAGAACTCTCTTATCACAGAATACTTAACACATTATTAAGTATTTATTTATAAGTATTACATTTATTCCTTACCTCTCAATAAGGGACATGCTGTCAGAGCAACATAAACACTTGGATTTGGAAGGGATCCTAGAGCTTTTATTTTATGCCTTCTCAATGAAGGAATCCTCTTACTAATAAGTGACTGTCCAATCTCCAATCACTTCCCTTGGTGGTGAATTTATTCCTATGCAAAGCATTCATTATCTCTGGGGAAGCTTAATTTTTAGAAAAGCTTTCCTTTCATTGACCGGAAGTCAGACCTAAAATCATGGCATATTCTGACTGTGCCATCAAATCATTCTACCCAGTGCCCCAAAGCTACAAAGGAAAAAATGAAACTCTTCCACTTGAGAGTCATTTAAACTGTGAAGGCTACCATTCTCCAGCCCTTTAAGTTTCTTTTTCTCTTTAAATTAAACATCCTTAATTATTTCAACCATCCCTCTCACATGTTCATCAATCGTTCCCCACTGTTTGAACCCTAGCTTGATGGGGTCCCACATGCAATTTGGCATTGACCTAAGCAAACCACTCCAGGCATGCCATATCCAGAGGACAGTGGGTAACTACCTTCCTGAAACTCACTTCCTCATCCTGAAACTCCACTTTTTTTCCTAACCCATTAATATTTTATGAATGCTAAGTTTCTCTTGACTCATTATTGACTCTGCTGAGTACAACCTAATGTTCCATGCCTTTTTCACAAGTACAGTTTAGCTAAACCCATATCACTGTGGCTAACTGATTTTCAACAAGGGTACCAAGACCTTTCAATGGAGAAAGAGTAGTCTCTTCAATAAATGGTAGTGGGAGAACTGGATATCCACACGCAAACTCTTACCTCATACCCACAAACATTAACTCAAAATGGTTCAAAGACCTAAATTTAAGAGCTAAATTTAGCTGCATTTTCTTCAGTGTTGGCAAGGATGTAGACTAAATTGGAACTCTCATCATGCTGGTAGGAAAGTAAAATGGTTCAGCGACTTTGGCAGTTCCTCAATGAGGTAAACATGGAATTACCATATGATTCAGCAATTCCATTCCTCCATTGAAAACAGGTCCATTGTTTGAAAACAGATATTCAAACAAATCATTGTACACAAATGCTCAGAGCAGCCCTATTCATAACAGCCAAAAAATAGAATTGACCCAAATGTCCACTGAAGGATGAATGGATAAACAAACTGTGGTATATTCATACAACGGAATATTGTTCAGCCACAAAAGGAATGAAGTTTTGGTACACACTATGACAGAAATGAACCTTGCAAATATCATGCTACATAAAATGAGCCACACACACACAGAGTACAATTTAGCTATGTATGAAACATGCCTGTCTGGTCGACTCAAAATAGAACCCTCCTTTACATGGAAATAAGAGCAGGACCATATAATTATCCTGATGAACAATTTCCCCCTTTTTCTTTTGTTTTGTTTTTTTTTTCAATTTCCCCTTTTTGGATATGGCTCAGCATTCTAGCTTATGAAATCATCCTGTATTCTGATTCTGCTACTACCCACATTTACTCTACCAAACTCCACTGATGGATTGGGCCATGAATCAGGAAAGACATACCTCTTCTCTAACCAGGAGAGCGGAGCACTGTAAAGGGACGCCCATCATCTTGTGTGGGTTCCATGTCACAGAGTTGGCCCTAAAGGAAAGAAACCGAGTTAAGAGGGTGGCACCTATGACAGGATCAGACTACAAGGTCCTGTGACAGGATGACAGATCTTTGAGGCTCTTATCACTGTTTCTCAGACTCTTGGATGACACTAAATTTATAGAACAAGGTATGAACTCTTAAATCTACAACCTTTTCTTCATCTACAGAGAGAGTAGGTGAGGGCAGGCATCTCATGCGGTGCCCCCTTAGCTTCCCTGGAGGAATTCAGCCAGGCTCCGTGTGGTCTGAGAGTCCCTGTGAGTGACTGGAATCCTCCATTCCAGGGTCCCGTCTTTGGCAGCCAAAGAGAAGGGCACCAAGCAGGTAAAGGGCCCATCCTCACATGCCTCCATTGTTCCTGGAGGCACTACCACTGTGGCCTAGAGCTCAGAGTGATGGCTCATTTCATTATTTTTTTTATTCATTAATTTTGTTCTTCTCACCCAACTTCTCCTCCTTCCTATTCAATTGATTATTACATTTTTCATATGTGTCCTTTCATAATAGCTTTTGGTTCATCCCATTTCCATCTCTTCTCTGGCCCAGAGACATCTCGGTGGGATATGCTATGGCTCCTATAGCAGTTTTCAATCTATTTCCAATCTTAAGTGTCCTGATATACTTGAGAAATACAATGTTCTTATATCAGTAATAGAGATTGTCGGGATTTATGCTATTTGAAAAGTCTAAACCATAGTTCTGGGTCAGATTCTTGTAATAATGATAATAATAATAATAATAATAATAATAATAATAATAATGCCATCAAGGGTGAGTGCAGGCCATGTGTTTAGTCTTGTGTCTTTGCTCAATCTCATACCCATTTTTCATTTTCATGACACCATTTTCATCACATCAGATTATTTTTTATTCTCAGAAGATTCTATTCTCATGCTCCTGGGTCTCTAAATGCTATTTCCTCTTCTTGAAACGTCATCTCTCTTTGCTTAGCTTGGTTAAATCTTACTTATTCTTTAAGGCCCAGATCAAGTGTTATTTTCTCTGCAGACTTCAACTTCATTCAACTTCTTTCCTTCTCTCCTGCTGAACTGCTCCAACCAGTTCGTCCCCTAGCTCCAGGGAAAGCACGTGTTCCCTCCACAAGTGAGTTCCCATCTCTTACTTCATATGTTTATCAGGCAAGGTGAGCCTCTGTGCATGTCTTCTGAGGGCCTGAGGGATCCTTGGGAATCAGAATCATGAACATGACCTTAGTATAAACAGACTCATGTGAGGAGGGAAAGTAGAACAACCCATGGCAGCTGCCTCCAGACTGCTGCAGATTGCTGCCCCTCCTCTGGCTGAAAAACAGACTTGGGCTCACCCTGCTCCCAGCACTCCAGGTGTAAGAACCTTGGGAAGAAATGAGAAGCTGGGAAAGAGCTCATTCATCTATCTGATGAATGGTGGGCATCAGTTGGTCAGTTAGAGAATGCTGACTGGCCTGGGGAACTCACCTGAATCGGCAAATAGGCCAGCTCATCTTCTAATACACAGCAAGCATTAAACAAGGTTGGCCCTTGCTACTGATTTCAGTTCTATCATTTCACACTTTGTGACATTGAGCACACATACACCACTTCTAGAATATTCTACAGCTTTATGCCTAATCCTGATGAATCTCAGCTTTGTCAGTAATGACCCCTGATGGGGAAGAAAATAACTTCATTTCTCTGACTGGAGGTGGTTGTTTTGATGCAGTGGCCAACTTGTCTTTTTAGAGTAGATGCTGCCAAGGCCCGCGACTACCTGTTACTGAGTTCCCTGTCCTGCCTCTCTCCCAGAGAGGTTGCCTCATAAACATGGCAAAAACCTGCGCAGAGTGATTCAGTGACATGCCCTTAATTTATTTTAGAAATGTTGGCAATTTATGAAAAATAGCCTCAAGTTCATTTAAAAATGTTTTGCTGTGGGCAGCCCTGGTGGCTCAGTGGTTTAGCACTGCCTGCAGCCCAGGGTGTGATCCTGGAGACCCTGGATCGAGTCCCACGTCGGGCTCCATGCATGGAGCCTGCTTCTCCCTCTGCCTGTGTCTCTGCCTCTCTCTCTCCTCTCTGTGCATTCTCATGAATAAATAAATAAAATCTTAAAAGAAAAATTTTGCTGTGATATTCAGTCACATGGCTTCAGTGATCTACTGTAAGTTAGAGGAAACTGCCTCCTTTATGGCTGTTTTAAGACATGTCCTCGGGATCCCTGGGTGGTGCAGCAGTTTAGCGCCTGTCTTTGGCCCAGGGCGCGATCCTGGAGACCCGGGATCGAATCCCATGTCGGGCTCCCAGTGCATGGAGCCTGCTTCTCCCTCTGCCTATGTCTCTGCCTCTCTCTCTCTGTGTGTGTGACTATCATAAATAAATAAAAATTTAAAAAAAAATAAAAAAAAGACATGTCCTTGTGCCCTCATTTGCACCTCAAACTAGGCAGACCCCACGTGAACTCATTAATTTGCCCCTCCTCATCCTTCCAGATCTATTCTTTCTCTGTTTTCCTCCCATATATCCAGCTCTCAGATTTCAGCATTTTAGTAGTATTTTCTTCTTCCTGCTCTCCTAATATCACCCCTTGCAGCTCTAGTTTTTTTTTTTTTTTGAAAAAACACCTCTTTATAAAGTGCTTTATTCTGTAGTATTTGATGCTTGTAATTTTTGAGGAAGACACTTCCTAGAGTACAGCAAGCTAATGTTAGCTCGGTCAAAGGTATCTATGATAATGTCCCTATACTTTTTAACATATTATATAAGACTGTAAAATCTGTCAAGGTGGAAAGTCTCTGGAACTTCTTAAAGCATTGGAAAATAGGGCAAAAGAATTATATACAAATAGTGTTTAAGCATTCTGTAATATACAATACTCTTTGTGTAATTAGAGTGTGACTCATCTATATAGACACACAAAATGTTTCAGAAGCAAAGGAAGTAAACAGAAGCACCAGTTCTTTAAACTACACATGGTCCTGGAGCACCTGGGTGGCTCAGTGGTTGAGCTTCTGCCTTTGGCTCAGATCATGATCCCGGGGTCCTGGGATCAAGTCCCACATCAGGCTCCCTGCAGCTTGTGGAGAGTTCACAAGTCCTGCCCAAGGAGTCTTGGTGGAGGGTCTGCCCTCAGGGCCAAGTCTGGATCAACATCAATCCCTGAGCTGACAATCACTGCTGTAGGAGCCACTATTTTGCATGGAAAGCATTCTATTTCTCAGATTGGGAGGGGGGTGATGAAAGTCCCTGCCATAGAGCCATGGATGGTGGGGGGAGGGTGAAGAGGCAAGTCAAGACTTGGGAGGAGATGGAGGCCAAGGACCCAGTAGAAGCCACTGAGCTCTCGATTTTGTCCAGGTGAGGACAGTAGTGGTGGTAGGAGAAGCTAAGGGTGCAAACCGGGGTGGTAGCGGTGGGAAACGACCTGAATGGATGAACCCAGCAGTGTGGCTTCCATGGAACAGGACAAACATCACAAAGATCTGCTCATCTATGGGACCAAGTATAATTTTTTTTAAAGATTTTATTGATTTATTCATGAGACACACACCCCCACACATACACCCACAGAGAGAGAGAGAGAGAGAGAGAGAGAAAGTCAGAGACATAGGCAGAGGGAGAAGCAGGCTCCATGCCGGGAGCCCGATGCAGGACTTGATCCCGGGATCACACCCTGAGCCAAAGGCAGATGCTCAACCACTGAGCCACCCAGGCGTCCCTAAACTTCCTAGTCACGGCTGTGAATCCCTCTCAGTCTCCAGCCAAACACCTGAACTTCCTCCATGGATCCCTTCAAACCTCCATGACCTTGCTCTTCACCTTGAACATCTACCTTCCAGTTCCACCTGATGAAACACCTATGCCCACCCTGGCACAAAGGCTTCCTTGAATAACCCTGTTTAGCAGAGATTATTCCTTTCTTTGTGCTTACCAATCAGCTCCCTGGTCTGTCTCTTGAGCCTTTACCTCCTTTGCCTTGAATTTCAATCCATCACTAACTGTCACTCTTCCCTACTAGATTCTAAGCCCTTTGAGAATAGGCTTTACACCATATTCGTCTTCATGAACTCACTGGGCCTAGTGCAGCGCCTTGCCCATAGTAGAGGATTGGCAACTACTGAACTGAATTTCTAAACCCCTGGCTCACAGGGCAGTAGTGAGGGCAGTAATTGGTAAGATGGCAGCAGTTGTGCCAGGACCTTAAGCTGGGCTGGCAAGCCTTGAGAGGGGACCACCACAAAGGGCAATTGCAGGCAAGCAGCAGCCTGCTGTAGGGAGGGATTAAAGGAGACAGTTTCCAAGGCACGGAAGCATACCTGGGAGTGTTAAGGCTCTTGGCACAACCTCTCAGCTACACTGTCTCTAGAAAATTTGAGAGCCTGAACAAGGAAGAAAGATGCTTTCTGAGAATTTGGTAGGTTCTCAGAGGGAGTGCCAGGCAGGTTATGGTCACTTGCAGCATTTTGTTATGAGGATGGTACTCTGGGGACCCTGTGACCATTGGAGAACCTCTTAATCTGGGGACGATAATTGACCATGGTTTCTTCCATTTTAGAGTGAATCCTTGGGAAAATGTATACTTCCAAGTGAGGCAAATTTTCCCCCCTCAACTTATACCCATGCCCATGAGGCCCAGGGTTTCCACTGACCCTACAACCTTATTCACCACAGACAATGTGCCTTTCGCTAATAAGTCAGCAAGATGGATACTCTTGGATAAGTAGGTGGCAGTCCCTCATTTCTGGGACTTCATATTTGGCTATTCCACTTAGTGGATTTAGTTATAATACAGTTTCAGAATGGTGGCAATTGGAGCAGACTCTGTTCCATGGTAAATGTTCTAAGCTTTGCTCTGAAATAATAGTCTTTAGTGCAAAAGTGTGTGGGTGTTTATTTTTCCAAGGCTCAGGGTAGGTAATTTAGTGAGCTTTTAAGTCATCATCAGTGGAGGACGCCCCATGGCTTTCAGCACTTGGAGTTCCAGGTGGCATTAAAAGTACAATAATAGATGCTTACTTTTTGAACCAGTCAGAAAGGAACTCATAGAAGAGAGAGTACTGTGTGCAGGCCACATCTCTTTTGAAAGCATGAGAATTAGTTCTCATTCTGGTCATCTGAGCAGGTACCTTCCAAGCTGTTCTCTTTTTTTCATTCTCTCTCTCTGTTTTGTGCATTGCCTGCTCCTTAGGTGTCTGGTTTCATAGAGATCTTCATGGCAAAAAGGAATTTGGCGTGGGAGAAGACCCAGAGGATCAGAGGAAGAGGCAGACTGGCCTTCACTGGCAGGGGGCTATGTGTGCCTTCGGTCTCCCATTGCTAACAGGGCACCTGCCATCAGAGCACTGGCAGCTCTGCTTGCCAGTCACTGACTCCCGTCAGCAGACTTGGGGACTGCTACCCTGCTGACTTAGGCCTCAGCTGGACTCTAAAGTCTTCCACAAATGAGGCAGTGTGCCCCTGACTCTGCCTCGGTGACCCCTGCCCCCTCTTTCTACTCACGGGTTCTCTGCATGTGAGCGGGCCTGGGCATCGCAGAGCACACCGTGTGCATTCACTCTGGCTTGACCTGGCTGGCCGCATGACCAGTGCTGACAGGTGCTCCATGCTCCATCGGCCTCTCTCCTCATCCCAGAATGGAAATGGAGCCAGGATGTCTAGAAGCAGAGCCAGTGGGCAACTCTTCCTGGCCAGCATCTGGCTACTTGCCAGGGCATGATGGGCACTTGGCAGCCTCTGACAAACTCAGGCTTTCTCAGTTGCCTGGAGTGTCAGAGCTCACCTCTGCTGTTGACCCTGCCATGGTGTAATGGGAGAACTGGGGACATTGTGCTCCCTTTGTGCATGGTCAGCAAAGCCTGAGGCTGATTTTGCATTCTATAATTTTTTTCCCTTTTCTCTTCAGACCTGAATATGTCTTATGCCAATCAGATATCACCTCCTTTAGGTTTAGCAGCTTTTCTCAATCATCTACTGCTTAATCTCTGAAAAAAAAAAAAGGTGCTTTGTAACCTTTTTTTAATATAAATTTTTTTTTGTAAAAAAAAAAATTATCGTGGGAATGAAACCATGAGACAATGTTCTCACAAATATGTCTTGCTCTAAACTGGCCGTATTAAGCCCCAAGCCCCTGCTTTCAACACTGATAAAATATAAAGTGCACAGTTATTTATTGGTTTGCTTAAAGCAATGGATATTGTCCTTTTCTGGAACATAAAAGCTACAGATCTTCTCCCTGGAAAATTATGACCTGCCAACAGGTTTTTAAGTAACTTTGGTAGTTGGTTCAGAGGTTGTAAGAAGGCCATTCCTAGGGGATCCCTGGGTGGCACAGCGGTTTGGCGCCTGCCTTTGGCCCAGGGCGCGATCCTGGAGACCCGGGATGGAATCCCACATCGGGCTCCCAGTGCATGGAGCCTGCTTCTCCCTCTGCCTATGTCTCTGCCTCTCTCTCTCTCTCTGTGACTATCATAAATAAATAAATTAATTAATTAATTAAAAAAAAAAGAAGGCCATTCCTGAGTCCTCTGGCCAACCACAGACTCCAGTTAGGGTTCTGTATTTGAGAAACATTCCACCTGGGCTCCTTGACAGAGGATTTGATGCCTTTTTGTTGTTTACACATAATATTCATGTGTCCATGACCACACAGGTCAAGGCATACAAGAATTGTGAGAATGGGCTCACCTGTGCTCTGAGAGTGCTTGGAAATTGTATGTAACTTGCTTTTCACATTTAGCTTTCACGCTTTAGATTGTTAACAAGAAAAGTGGGTGTACCTCTCCACGCCACTCAGCTTCCATTTGTGCTTCCGGGACATCAGTAATCCCCCACCCCAAGCGGCCTGCAAAAAGGAAGATCATATAAGTAACAGGGTAGCAGGTCTTTCATTGTCTAGATTTCTAAAGTTTAGTGTCCTCCAGAACAGTGAGTCTCATGGGGTGAAAGTCATCTCCTCAAGCTCAGGAAACTGAGAAGCCTGGCCACCTTCTGGCACTAGACTTTCAAAGTTTAGATTGGATGCTATTCTAAAGTTTCAGGTTCCATTTCATATTTAGACAAGTGAAAGGAGCCAAACTGGGGGCATATGTCTTGTGTCCAACCAAGAAGGGGAAAGATCCTTTCCCCAATACATCACTACCACTCACGATCCTAGTGCAGCTTGTGACGTCAGAACAAGAAAGCCTATTGTGTCCTCTGCTGAGAGTACAGAGGATGAGGTGGAGGACCCATTAAGCAGCTTCTGAGTTATAAGGAAAACTCCTTTTTTTACAATAATAAATTTATTTTTTATTGGTGTTCAATTTGCCAACATACAGAATAACACCCAGTGCTCATCCTGTCAAGTGCCCACCTCAGTGCCCGCCACCCAGTCACCCCCACCCCCCCGCCCACCTCTCCTTCCACCCCCCCTAGTTTGTTTCCCAGAGTTAGGAGTCTTCCATGTTGTGTCTCCCTTTCTGATATTTCCCACTTATTATAAGGAAAACTCCTTTGGCAAGTCTGGATGATTCCAGAAGGAAGAAGCAGCGTCATAATCCTATTTCAAGGGCACCAGGTGGTTCACTCGGTTAAGTGTCTGCTTTCGGCTTGGATCATGGGATTGAGCCCCATGTCAGGCTCCCTGCTTCTCCCTCTCCCTACCAATCCCCCTGCTTATGCTCTCTCTCTGTGTGTCAAATAAATAAATAAAATCTTTTTTAAAAATCCTATTTCACTAATACGTATTTTAGGATAAGATAATATCTAAGAAAGAAGAAAGAAAGAAAGAAAGAAAGAAGAAAGAAAGAAAGAAAGAAAGAAAGAAAGAAAGAAAGAAAGAAAGAAAGAAAGAAAAAGAAAGAGAATTTGTTGAGTGGCTAGAACATGTCTCTTAAAAATCTTTACTCAAGTTTGAAGATTTAAATTAGTATAGTGATATAGTGATTCCTTTAATAGTATGATGTTAAGATGGAGATTCATTGGAAAATGTTGGTATTATTTGTGGGTGAAAATAATCCCAGGATAATTTTTAAAGAAAAAAAAAACAAAAAAAGAAAAGGAAAAAAAAAGTGTTAAGGTATAATTGCCTTTTTTTAAAGTTTGTTGTAACTTCAGTCCTTTTACACTTTGAAAAATTACCCAATTTTCCAAATGTGTAACATTTTAAGATTTTCTTTACTTTAATTACACAGAGTATAAACATTTAAGATAATAAGTGATAAACTTGGTAGGTTCCAAAGAAAGCACATACAATTGGTCAAAAGATCTAGCTCTATGTTGAGTAGAAATCCTAGAGGAGAGACCACAGTACCTGCTGGTTCAGGACACACAGACATTGTTATTTTTAAAGTTGTCCGGACAATTCTCTTCCTGAATCAGCTAACAAGGTTTAATAGGCTTTCCAGTTCCAAGACCTGAGTCACGATGGTACTTGGATTGTTCAACTTAGTGTCTTCATTTGTAAAACCAATGGAATGTCTGGTAGCCTAATGAACAACTCATATTGTGAATCATGGAAGGAAAAGAAGACTGGTAACCACTCTACAGGATGACATTGGGATAATGGAAATCTACCTGGTTCAGCCTTAGGTAGTAATAGTGGATTAGTAACAAACAGTTTGCAGATAACAACTGATCTTTGAACCACACTTGGAGTGATTCTGGTTTAAGTTTAAGTTTCTTCAATTTGTCCTTCTAAATCTGGACATTTTTTCGTTTGAAGATGTTTTGATGGGCACATCTTCATTTAATGTGACTAGGTCTGGAGTAACATTTCAAATATAATTTATCTTTTCAGCTGGCCCAGCTAAGAAATTGGCAATTTGGTGACCCATACTTCTAGCAAGCCATCAAGTCTTCTTTCCTATTCAAATATACAAATACCCGACTTGAGTTTAAGTTTTTTATCCTCTGAGTTTCCTATGCAAATGTAACTCTTTTTGCCTTTTTGATCATCCTTAGAGGGAAATACAATCTACATGTGTGTGGCTGTGTATGTGTGTGTGGAGGTTACATTCCTCCAAGGATGTTATGGGCTGATGATGATTTAAGAACTAAGTACTCAGCTTGGGTGCTGGTCATAGAAATAAGAATATTATCATATTGGGAACATTAAGGCAAATCAGCCTCTGACTTCCTCCAGTCAATGTTGTATACTGTGTGGATCGTGTGCCACTTTGTCTCTGCACTCTTCAAAAGCTTAAATATCCCCATTCTGAAAATAGGCTCCCAAGGGAAAAAGAGACAGAGACAGAGAGAGAGAGAGAGAGAGAGAGAGAGAGAAAACAGGTTTCATTCCATGAGCCCTGAATGAATAAGTAAGTGCAAGGACACTTTGGTGGCAGTCCCTATGGGATACTCACATCCACATGCATCCAGATCTTGTACTTTTTACAAATGTCAGCAACTGCTAAGAGGGGGTCGAATGCTCCATACACGGTGGTCCCAGCTGTGGCGCTCACAAGGAAAGGAACAAATCCCTAGACAAATGAGAAAGCCCCAAATAACGTCAAATAGGGCATCAGTATTTTTTTTAAGCTAATAAAAACAGTGGATATTCTCCCTCTGTCACACACTTCTCCAGTTTTGGAAACATCACAAGGATTGTTGGCCCCTTGGAACCTGGGAGGATATTCACTCTCCAAGATCTGGGTTCTCCAGGCCATTCTTGGACCTGCCAGTTGCCTTATAGAAACAGACACTTTGGTTCTGGTGACACTGGACCCAGAAGGGAAGAAGCTGACACTGGACCCAGAAGGGAAGAAGCTTTATGGTGCCCCCAAGCCATTTATATATTCCAGATGGATATGCTCCCCACTTTGTTCACTTTCTAGTCTTCCTTTTGCAAATTAGTCTCCTAGTGTGAGCAGACAAAAGAACAAAGAGAAGGAAATCCGACGGGCTCATTATTCCTATTTGGAAAATCCTCAGATAATCTATTTGTTATCTTAGAGGGAAGAGTTCATGTGGGACTAGACAATAAGCCATTACTTTTATCCATCTAAGTAGTCCTAGGTCTGTCTGGCCCTGGCTAAATGGAAATTGCTAGAAGGTAGAAGAATGCCTCAAACAGAATGAATAGAGTCGTGATGTGACAGGATGTTACAGAGTCAGGCTTTAGGTGGCAGCAAAGGTTTAATCTTGTGGTGTATGCCACTAGGAGTGTCCTAGTACAGGAACAAGGGGACTCCTGCTGCCACTTTGTAAGGAAAAAAAGGCAAATTAAAAGAAATGATTATTCCTAAGCTGATATTAATAAAATGCACATGTAAATAAAAGTTACACTAAGGGAGTTCTACAAGCAAGCTCTCTGGTTTGCAAACCATCCAGGGAAATGACTTTCTAGAGCTTTGTGGGAATCTTTCACAGGTCTCCAGAACTTGCTGCTTCTCAGACTTCTAAATTGCTTGCCACAGAAGAAGATTCTTGGAGAGCCAATCATAACCATATTCCTAGGCAGGAAAAATTGGCTCCTTTTAAACAACCACACCACACGGTAACTTGTGCTGCATTAGCAGTGTGACATTTTCCACCCATGAAAATGATCTTTCAAATGTATGTCTGTTTAATGCCAATGCTCAGCACACAGAGGACAAATGCTGTAGAAAGTCCTATAGCATCACTGTGTATATTATCACAGTGTACATTATTTAATCAGCAACTTAGATCTTTCTGGAGCAGAGCCTAGAACTCAGAGAAATAAATAATGACTCGATGCAAAAATTCTATACTCTCAGGAAAGCTGGGAGGTTGAGAATTAGGTCTTCTTCTTCTTCTTTTTTTTTTTTTTTTTAAAGATTTATTTATTTATTTATTTATTTATTTATTTATTTATTTATTTATTTATTTATGATAGACATAGAGAGAGAGAGGCAGAGACACAGGAGGAGGGAGAAGCAGGCTCCATGCTGGGAGCCCGACGCGGAACTCGATCCTGTGACTCCAGGATCGTGCCCTGGGCCAAAGGCAGGCTCTAAACCACTGAGCCACCCAGGCATCCCCTAGGTCTTCTTTTTAAAGCAAAACCAAAGTGGGGACACCTGGGTGGCTCAGTCAGTAAAGCATCTGACTCTTGATTTTGGCTCAGGTCATGATCTCAGGGTTGTGAGATCGAGCCCTGGGTTGAGTTTTACACTGCTTGGGTGTAGAGCCTGCTTGGGAGTCTCTCTCTCCTCTTCCTCTGCCTCCCAGGACAACACCCCCCCCCCAAAACAAACAAAACAAAACAAAACCCTCCAAAACCCCAAAAACAAATCAAAAAAGCAAAACCAAAGTATGTTCTCCACTGGATGGAAACAGAAATAATGTGCTTTTAGCCTGTTATAGGCTAGATTAACTCCCTACAAACTTACTTTTTGTTTGGCTTCAAGGATCCTTCTTTCAAGATCAGATGGGACCATTTTCCCCCTGGAAGGAAAAATAAATACATTATAGGTTTGCTTCAAATACTTTGTTGTTGTCTTTACAAGCAGCCACATCAGGGTCAAATTTCAACCCTAAACTGTTGCTAATAATGATTTGTCATAACAACTCCTTGGCTGTTTCCGGGAAGAAATGCAGTTCCTCCCTGAATGATGCATGATGTAATTTCTGACACATTTAGGAGACTCCTGACCACACTGTGCTGTTAGAACAGCCACATATCCCACCATGGTGCACAGAACCTGGGTCATCCTCTAAACTCGCTTAAAACAAGCCTGTTTTGGCACAAGCCACTTGGCAATGAAAGGAAAGAGCAGGAAAAAGATTTGTGTTCCTAATCTCCGAATGAATGGCGCTGCAATTTCACATACAGATGACGTGCCAAGAAGAGAAATCCATTCTGAAATGAATGAAAATATTAAGTAAAAAAGCTACCTAATCACATTCTAAGTGCTAAAAGCATAAAGCCAGCCAAGAAAACATGGGCTCAAATTTCAAACATTTAGATGCATGGGCTTTGGAAAAAGAAACATCCTTTTATCCCTGAAATGTTTCTTTCCTAAAATAAAAACACAGATAGTGCTTTGCTCCTTATAAAAGCCCATTATTATAATAATCAAAGGAGTTGGTTTCTACAAGAAGCTAAATGTAACTAGATGCGTAATCTTAGTCAAGTAACTTGATTTTTCTGTGCCTATTATTACTGTCCCTGGAACATAGTGATAATAAAATTACTTATGGAGTTATGAGGTTTGAAAGAGTTAATACATGCAAAATTATTTTAAAAGCACTTGGCATGTGGGAAGCATTCCATAAATGTTAACTTTCGTTGTTGAGATTGTTATGTATTATGACATTCATCTTCCAAGACATTGGAGGAAAAATGGGGAAAGGACAAAGTAGCTGCATGCTGCCAGAGGCAGTAAAATATTCTTCACACCAAAATAGCTCTCTCGAGGTTGCAAAACTGACTTAACTTTTCACATCAGGGTCATCGATCTAGGTTTTTAAAGGGCAATTTTGAAAAATAAATTATGGATAGGAGGTTGTCACAATAAATGGCTGGGAGACACTACTGGCATTTAGGGAGCAGTGGGGGGGGGCTTGGAGGAGGGGGTTTAGTGTGTGTTGCTAGTTCAATAATCCATTCCTGGCTGTCCCTGTGATTTTAGGCATAGAGGGAGCATTGGGCTACTTCAGTACATCTTCTAAGCTTTGCATACTGAAATATGTTATTTTATTATAAGTTACTTTCCTAACACTCACTTTATAAAAATAATTTGGGCATTATATAGTAAGTAGTAAGTTATATTTTCTGTGATTTTCATTTCAGGCTCATAGAGGAGGCACTGCAAAATAGTTGGAATATAAAGTAGACATTAGGCCCCAAAGCCTTTAAGAACCACTAATTTATGTGAAGCTGTTTTCTAAAGGAAGGCAGTTAAAATGCAATTATCTGGCAACAGTAATGGACAAGTTACCAGTGATTAGTCAGGCTGGATTGGAACAAAGGCAGTGAACATACATTTGGTGCTTAGGGTGTGATTCCAGTTCAGAGCAACCCACCTCTGGGGAACATCTGTGGGATGGGGCTTCTGAAGGAGGGACAGAGGGAATGGAAAGGCAAAGTGATGGGGTCAGGGAAAGGAGCTCACTCCCTATATCTCTCCCCCTACTTCACAGCTTGGCTTGAGGGCATCCCACGAAGCAGTGATCTTTCCGTCTCTCTAGATCAAGCTATGCTTCAGCGTTGCTGCAGCGCTGATATAAACAAAATGTACAGCTTTCAAAAGAAATTTGGGTATTGCACTAATCTCTTACATAAAGTTTTCAGCACATTAAAGTTGCCATTGTATTTTTCTAGGTAAACATGGAAACTGAGAGGTAATTCTCAGAAACGGTTTGCAAATCCCAAATTTTACCTACTCTCCATTGGAGAGTTTTGGGTGTCCTAGTTTGACAGCTGCAATTGGATCATATAATCACATCTGGATGTTTTGTTAAGCATGAGCAGTAGGTGTCACCAAGAAGTCACAGATTAGGTTACATTATAATTGGAAGGTGCTGAAGACCTGTTTCTGGTCTAATTGTCTCATTTTTCAAATGAGGAAGCAGGCCAAGAGAAGTGAAGTGACAGTCCAAGATCAAATGTTGGTAAAAGGTTGATTGTAACTAGAAGTAAAACACCAAGCTTCCTAGAAGGGCCAAACAGATAGGAAACCTATTTAGAAAGATTGGAGACTTTCAAGATAAGATAAATCCTTGCAGATAATATCTGACTTTCCTAGATCAGAGGTGCCATTCAAGCATGCCAGGGAACCAGTAATGAACAGTCTGTTCCATTTCTCTATTGGAGTTTTGGGGCAGGTTCATCAAATAATCAAGTTCAGGTGGAAAGCGATGGTGTGGTTCTTCACGGGGCAGGTTCCAGCCTTTCCTAGGCATTCTGCCTGCGTATCTATTTTTATCCACTTAGGAACCCAGAATCTGGTGTGCTGAAGGTGGTAGATCAACATTTGTTGGAGATAATGTGACCTAAAGGCAGAAGTTCAACTCATGGGTGATATTAATATGGTTATTTTACCTTAATGACTGGCCAGATGGCTAATATGCTGCCCCTGGAGACAAAACTTTTCATCTTTCTGTCTATCTTAGAATTAGCTGAATTACTTTAGAACAATGGTTCTAAAAATTTTGTGTGCAAAAAAAATCACTTGTGTGCCTTTAAAATGCAGATTCCTTGATCCTGCTCTTAGAGATTTTGATTGAGGAGGTAGATTAATGGGGCCCAGGAATTAATTCCTTCCACAAATATGTATTGAGTGCTTACTGTGTGCCACACACTGTTGGGGGTATTGGGGTACCAGAGTAAACAGACCAGCTTCTATTCTTCAGGACTTACATACTAACAGTAACATAGTAAAATAGAGAGGCATGCACAGGAGTCTGGATTTCTAATAAGCACCCTGGATCGTTCTGACCTAGATCCACATGTTGAGAAATATTGCTTTAGAAATGGAAGTTTAGGGCAGCCCGGGTGGCTCAGCAGTTTAGGGGTTTAGCGCTGCCTTCAGGCTGTGGTGTGATCCTGGAGACCCAGGATCGAGTCCCACATCAGGCTTCCTACATGAAGCCTGCTTCTCCCTCTGTCTGTGTCTCTGCCTCTCTCTCTCTTTCTCTCTGTCATGAATAAATAAATAAAATCTTAAAAAAAAAAAAGAAATGGGAAGTTTAGCCTGGTAGTATTTAAATAATTGTGTGACATACTAGCCAAGTACCATTCATATGACCTATGGTTTTGAGCCATCCTGGCTGTGGGGCAAGAGCAAAAGGAGCCCCAAATATGGACTGTGCATCCTCTGACTACCCATGTGTCGGGTGAGAAAACATTTGGGTGGCAATCAGCATGGTCATCTAGGACTAGAAGCTGTCAGGCCAGGCCTAGATTTTCCAGACAAGTATCTCTTGTGCGGGGAGGCTTTGGATGGCAGCTGTGGCATTCTGTGCGTCTGGCCTCAAAGTATCTCCACAGCAAAAATGTGCATCTTTAATGTTCACATGTCCCAGCCTTTACTCACACAATTAAGTAGTAACTGATCTTTTTGTAATGCTGTTCTCTGGTAGTTGTCAGTGTTTACAGGAGAGCCATTAAAGTGGGGACTGTTGAACAGATTTTTGCTTTGGATGTGGCTGCCTTGCACTGAGATTCCTGATTTTACAAGCCTTAAAACTTTATATAATGCCATTGGGTCAGATAACTTCACAAAATCTCCTGGGCAAAATACCACAATAGCAGCTATTGCTGCTAGCAGGAAAATCTCCTCTTTGTGGGAAGAAACTAAAGACACAGTGGATTTTTGGCCCGGATTCATGAAGGAGAAAGCTAGCTTACCAAAAGGAGAATGTTACTAGAGAGTTTATACCTCTAGGCAGGCATCCAAATGGTCACAAATCAGGTGCTTGACTCCTTGGTGACCCTGTTCATTGGCTCTGATGAAACTGTAGTAATTCTACAAGCTTTTTCTAAGTGAGTAGAGCTTTTCTCTGCTCACTTAGACAGAAATGTGTGCAAAGAAGAGTGGATGTGTGAATCCTTCCTGTTAGAAATTGATTGATTCTACAATCCTTGCTAACAGCAACAATACTGGCAGTGATAATGAAGTGCCAGCTTCAGAAGCAGTCACCACCCTGTGCCTTATTCCACGATCTCGGAGCCTCCTGCCAACACTACAGGAGTTATTATTGTTCTGATCTTATAGACAGGGAAACTGAGGCTTGGGGAGGCAGGTGAATGTGGCTAAACCTTGGAACATGGAGACAGAATAAGCAGGTTCTTGCCCCAGGTCCTTGCCCCAGGTCCTGTGCTAACTGTGTGTACTTGAAGAATCACGTTCTTCCTTTTACTCATTCATAAAATAATGATGATATTACCTCCCCTCACAAGGTTTACATAAGGATCCAATGAGATAATAAATATAAGATACTATACAGGGACGCCTGGGTGGCTCAGTGGTTAAGTGTCTGCCTTTGTCTCAGGTCGTGATTCTGTGGTTCTGGGATCAAGTTCCACATTGGACTCCCTGTGAGGAGTCTGCTTCTCCCTCTGCCTATGTCTCTGCCTCTGTGTGTCTCTCATGAATAAATAAATAAAATCTTAAAACAAAAAGACACTATAAAGCACTGAGTATAAAACTCTGCCTACATATAGTAACCACTCAGTACACATGAGATAGTCTCATTGTTGTCATTACTAGCACTGGTCCTAGTGGTGTGTGACTTGCAGGATGTCACACGCCTAGTAGGTGGCAGATTGCAAACCTAGAGCTGTCTGATATCAGAATGTAGGTTCTTAGCACTGTACAATAGATGTCTTCAAAGCATTTGTGGGGTTCAAACAAAATACCTACCTGTCTGAAAGGTTGAGTTCTAGAAAAATAATGATATATGTAATATTAACATGTATTGCTATATAATGATATTATGTA